ATTAGTCTCTGGTCACAGTTAGAGGATTAATGAATCATTTAAAAGAACAATGGCTTAAAAACCAATCAGATTTGAATTTACTAGACTATGTGTCTACTTTTTTAATTTGTCATGTACGGGCACTGATGTTGCAAGACAAGAGTCATCAGAAGATGACATATCCCCCCGGCCCCCACATCTTTGAAAGAACAAATCATCTGACAGTTACTTAAAGTCAAGCTTGATTTTAGACTAAGTGCAAATCGTTTCCATGGAAATCATGAAAGAAATAAATGACAAAAATCTGGAAAAAGCAAAAGGGACCACTTCAAGATCTGCCTCACATATCTGCCAAGTTTTACTGAAAGTTTTTGAGTTGTGCTCCGGAAACGAAACCTACCCCGCCCTTTTGCGACTAAGTCTGAATTGTTTCCATGGAAACCGAGAAAAATAAAAATGACAAAAATCTGCAAATAGCAAAAGGCACCACTTTGGGATCTGTTTGATATATCTACCAAATTTTTTTTGAAAAATATTGAAAGGTTTTTGAGTTATGCTCCGGAAACGAAGCCCACCCCTCCCTTTTGGGATTAAGTCTAAATCGTTTCCATGGAAACCAGGGAAAATACAAACGCCAAAAATCTGCAAATAGCAAAAGGCACCAATTAAAGTTCTGTTTGAAATATCTACCAAGTTTTGTTGAAAAATATCGAACGGTTCTTGAGTTATGCTCCGGACACGAAGCCCACCCCTCCCTTTTGGGACTAAGTCTGAATCGTTTCCATGGAAAACCGGGGAAAATACAAATGCCAAAAATCTGCAAATAGCAAAAGGCACCACCTTAGGTTCTGTTTGATATATCTACCAATTTTGTTTGAAAAATATTGACTGTTTTTTTGAGTTATGCTCTGGAAACAAAATGAATACGGACGGACGGATGGACGGACGAGGCAACGGGGGGATAAAAATGTTAAAGTTATAGCAGGACAGCATGAAAGCCAATAGTAATAAAAAAGGTCCCATCACAGAAATTTCAAACCTGGCAATGTGGTTTTGTTCAAACTCTGTTCCACAAAGACCTAAACAGATTTGTCGTTTGAATAAGATAAAAGAATATAATGACAGATTAAGTGAACAAGTGAAGTTTGATGAATTTGGTAAAAAAGCCTGGCCTTGGCTTAGAAATGTTCAGATGTTACACTAACTTCATGTAAAATTAGTCCACCTTTCTCTAGAAGGTGTCAGATTTCATTCACCAGTTTGTGTCTGAATGTACCTGTACCACAAGTGAAAAAGTATTGAGTCAACCCACTCAAGTCGGTGCATCTTGAGTCAAGTCAATGGTTGTTGAGAACATCATCCAACCAAATGACAGTGAGTGGCATTCACAATGCATCCTGTTTCTCAAACACCTGTAGACTTAGTTATTCATCACATACATTACATTTCATAATTGACTTCTAGTTGAGAGAAAATGTCCTGCCACAAATGCAGAACTGACATAGTATAAATGTATTATTGTGGGGATATTTTCACAACAACATTTAACAGATGCATGGCACCTTTCAGCTTTTCTTGTTAACACTATCACACCACTACAACTCCACTACTGTACCACTTTCTGGGCACTATCGCAAATCTCCTGCCCCACACAGTCAAAATATACCGTATTTGCAGTACAACATACAGTATTACTGTCATTCCTCATTGATAGGGTTGCTTGAGTTAGGATATTTTCTAATTGCTAATTTGCCTTGTTTTGACTGTAAGGTCATATTGTAAATCTCTATGTGTATTCAAATACTGACATGTTAATTACCTCTAAATGTTCGGTGATCATTAGATTGGTCCAATAAACCATTATCTCTGTCCTAATAGTTAACACATAAGCAAGGCAACTTCCATGGCTACAATCTGTTTAAGACTGATGCAACCTTCAAGAAAGATCATAAACAACAATGTTTAGGGCATGTCTAAAATCCAATAATATTCTGTACTCCGAATATAACAATTTGTTCAGAAAACCTTCACAAACCAAGTGTATTGGTATGATATGGTGACGGGTTCACCACAGGACTAAGTCTAATTAAAACAATTTGTTTGATTTTTGTTAAGATCTCAGATCACATCAATCAGCATTTAAGTACAAGATGCAAGACTGCCAATTTTCTCGTGGCAAGTTGCATGTGTACACACAAGATAGTCCATTACAGAGGCAGCAATAGCTAGTGTTAACCAGTCATAAACTCAAAAGGAAAATCAAACTATATTCATCATTCTTAAACCTTCTAAGAAAATGCATCTATTATATCATTAGCATAAATCCTGTACTTTGCCTGCAGTCCCAGTATAGCCAAATCTTTTCAGATTCAACAGACATCTTCTTCTGTCACAATACATAAATAGTTGTATCTGCAGCAGTACTATTATCTTACAGCTTTTTCATGCTTAGGGAGAAGGGGTAACCTAGCGTTTGGTCATCATGCCGAAGATCCAGGTTCAATTCCGTTAATATGGTTATAACGTGTGAAGCCGATTTCTGATATTTTTGTACTTCTGGAATATTCCTATAAGCAAAGTAAATCCATACTAACTCACTGTTCCATAACCCGGGGTTGAAATTCTCACTTCTTTCCTACATATAATATATACAGACAGATGATTCTGAAGATGGGCAGGGTACTCTCAATGTAAAACAAATAGTATTCTTAGAATTATCAACAACAATAACTATTGTTTGATAATTCTTATCAATCCTCTACCTCTATTACGTCATTGTCAGCATAGCTAGAGGGAAGAGGGCCTGTAGTAAACTCCCTGTACAGCTGACAGTTATCCTCATTATACTAAAGATGTCCGGTAGCATCTGCACTGGAAAAGGGAAATGCTGACACTGATTATCTGCATATTCCTATCTGAAAAGGGTCGCTGTATGGTTCTTGGTATGAAGTGGGAACATGAAGTCAGGTAGTCTGTGGTACGTTCAAGTTAGCTTTATACATGTAGATTATATACAGGAAGCTCTATGTGCAGGGTCAACAGTTAAAGGCAGTAGTGGTTGGATGGTGGCCTGTCACACTTTGCCTTACCAAAGGTATGACATCCTTCCTGTTCATCTCCACCACGTCTATATATAGCCACTCAGAATTACATAGAGTATGACTTAAATATACACAACAGTAAGTCATGAATGACATAGCTGCACAGCTGCTTCAGGATGGCTGACAGTCAAGGGACAATGCATGGGGATTATCAACACAACTTCAGGCTTTCAAATTAGGCCTATTGTTGTTGGGCCTGATTCAGGACAACTATCATCTGAAAAACTGTAATTCTAAAGGCTAATTACTTTGTAGCTATGAAAAGTATTTGTCTCGATCACTTAATTGCCACTGAAGACACTAATCTCTATGGTCAATGTTCATCACCACTGTATTATACATTAACTGTCAGCCACCCCTAGTGTGCTGTGCAGCCAGGTCACTTCTCAAATTTGTATTACTGTTGTTCACAATTGTACAAACATTTTGTGTCTTGACGACATTAGTCTTTGTCCAGATACAATCATAAAATTCTTCAACATTTAAACCTTTACGCCCCCTCCTTCTCAAGATGCAACAGCAAAACAACCACTACCATTACATGGTATGAAGTACTTCTTGCTTGTATCTATCTAAATAGAGCAAACTTTTGTTCACACCACAAGCTATCAACTTGATCTTGTCACTTCCTACAGAACAGTACACTAACCCCTTGCATATATACTACCCATCAAAAGTTTAGACTCACTAGTGTAAATTTAGCCACTTACTTCAGTCAACTGTTCTAAACTAGATTTTTCAAACTATTCCATACTGTTTTAAGGTACTGTTTACACATGAACTGATGTATTTCAAAACAAATTCGTAACGTTGAAAAGAGTATTGTCATGAGTTCAATAAATGATTAAACTCCAAAACGCAGCTGTTCACATGCATGATATTTGCACATGCTTTTCAGCAATTTGATGCATAATTTGCAGTTGGTTCCCCTAAGTTAGTGGAGAAATTCATCTTCAACATATATATATACATAACATATAGTGAGCGCTTTAAGTGAGTCTAAACTTTTGATGGGTAGTATAGATATATTCAAATATTTGTAACTGAAATTCCCTGAGTCTGTATGCAAGAAGCTCAGTGTTACTATTAGAGAAGACTAAATGAATGTCTAGGGGAGGTGTCTGTTACTTGCTGTTTTAAAAAGATATATTTACACACAGAATATTGTGTTATATGGTAAAAGCTCAATGCCAGTAAACTAAAGCAATATCTACATCAGTATTGGATAAAACTGGAATAATCTTGTAACAAATCATTATGCAATATGTTGTCAATATTTACAGTATGATACTGTTACATTTACTGAAAGTGGTGAGTGTTGACATGGGAATGCAGAACACTGTGTTACTGTCAACTATAAACAATAAGGGGACTCCAGGAGACCAGCAACTCACCTGATGTTGACACCAGTCACATAGTAATCACATGACGTTCAATGCATGGGAAACACATTAATTATCATCTCACATATCAGATTTCAAATTACATGATAAAATGGGTACAAACTGACCAAGCACGTTATGCATACAAAATTAAATGACTGAAGAATAAGCTTCATTTTTTTTTAAAACATCCTCAAGTATGAAGCATCTGACATCAAATGACCTTTCTTGCCTTGGAAATCATTTTGTCTTTTTAAGAAAGAAACACCTAGTTAAAAGATTAAACATCCTCCAAATTCCATTGTCTTATAATTTAAGAAGACATTACAGGTTGTTGGGTTTTTAATTAGAGGACATTGTCTCTTCACAGCCTCAGACAAAAAGTAGTACAAATTGTGTATATGTGCCCAACCAGGAGAATTGTGGAAGACATGTCTTTATATAAAAACATGAATGAAAACAAAAAAAGTTATGACATCACTCACATTGACCATGTCAAGGCAGGTTAAATATCAATCATTCTTCAACGTCCACAAACCTTGGCTTCAAATTTGATGGCAGCTGCATACAACATAGCAACATCTTTCACTGTGATGCCTTGTTTGATTATTTGCTCACAGTAATTCTTCAAAATGGGTTCACAGTATGCATTGGCTAAGTCAAGCAATCCTGCAACAAAAAGATTAATACACTTAAAATCATGCACATGACTGCCACTCTAGTGGAGCAATGTATTGTTGGGCTGGTGTCACCGGGACAACACTATACATCATAATCTATGACTGTGTCATGGATATTATTGCTGAAAAACACAGAAACATCAAGGTAACATATATCGTGCAAGGAATAGTGACTGCTGGAGTGATCCTATCATGGAGCAGCAAAACACTGCCTTTTGCATATTATAACTAATATACATAATCACATTTTAATCACATTTGTTATTATCAGTTTGTTATTTAATAATAAAAACATCAAATCTTCTTATCAATATTCATGAAATGATATTACAAGACATTAACTTCACGTTATTACAAGCAATACTCAACAGACTCTTTTTTCCTATCATTGGAATGCTGACATTAATGATACACTAATCATGAGAAGGTTACTTCCCCTGTGATCAGGAAAAAGTTTCCATGCATTCACTTTTCCAGTTATTAGCCCGGACAGGCAGCTGATTTCCCATAAGGCTCATTAACTACAGCAGTGTCAAATCATAGAGTTCTTTATTGTGGAGGTAGAGAATTTGCCAAACTCCTAAATTTGGGAGGTAGAAAGACAACATAGCAACCATCTTAGTTGTCTAATTGCTGGTTGGAGTGCATTAACCAAGTCATTAACAAGAGAATTACTCAGCCTGATCAATCACTCACTTGTCTGCAGCATTTTCATGCAAAATGTGACTTTCTCACTGACTGAGAAAATCGATCATGATGTATGTATTCTGGCTGGCAAGATTTCAATAAATTTCAAGTTCCCTTGTAATTATTTTGCAGCACTGCAGGATAAATATATTTCACTTTTATCCATTTAATCTTTATCTTAGTGGGTTTGCTGAGGTGCATTTGACATAGGCAGCTTTGATATCTGTCCTGAATGAAAGGATTACTCAGTGTTAACTTCTGCAGGAACATTTTCTGAAAAGAAATTTCCTTCCCCAGAAATTTTGCTATGCTTGAAATAACAGCAAGTTTTGTCACTTTTAAATGTGCACCAATAAAATTTCTGGACCAAAAAAAATCTTATTTGACAGAGTTTGTGGACACCGTAAGTGTGCAAAGTACTGCCTAATATTTTTCCTATGTTACCATATTTCAAATGGAATTGTAAGCTTATGGTTAATACATTTTCTTATACCTGAAGAACTTTGAAGGGCCGATAAAACAAGTAAAATGTGCTCATGTAAATACATAACTCTCCAGGTCATTAGGTAACAACACCTGGTTAATACATGATAGGGCTGAACATGATGTACAAAGTGAGATACATGGAGCCAATAAAGTCAGTCATGTGTATGAAGGAAACTGCACAAGTCTTTCACATTTGGCAATGAAATCATGATGCTATGCTATGTAAACATTCCAGTCATACCTATGAATTCAAATATACATTGTCTTTCTGATATTGTCTTATTTTTTACATGGGAACAACTAGTGCATCCTCAGAGAGACACATGCAAGTACAGTCTGGGATGTTTCATTCACCTGAACTTATGAGCCTATAAGTCGCTGCAGCTGAGCCTGAGGGTGTAGTGCACAATTTGCCAGAATCACGAACCATATTATTAGTCTAGGTTATTGATAATTATATCAGAAAGATTAATTAATTATTGAGATTCTATTAACGAGCGAGCATTAGTTTTGTCAAGTAGATTGTTCCATATCCAGAGGATATGATTTGGCATAGGACTGGGTTCCACAATTGACTGTTTTTAATAAGGTCTATTTCTGAGAATATAGGTGCTTTTATCAGAGAACTTCATCTAGTATTGCTTAAAAAGTTTTTGAAACATGTCCTTTTTTCTAAAAGCAGTTTTAAAATTGCACGTCTGACTTGCTTTTTCAACAAACTGTGTACTTCTTCAGCACTACATTGTTTTGATATGTACCCCACCTACCTAGCCTGACTGCTAGTCCTGTCTGACAACAAGAAAGGTATGAGACTTTATGGAAAACAACTTCTTTAGTATATTATGATGCAACGTTTTTTAATACAGTTGTCAAGCATACCTTTCTTATTATTCATCAACTTCTAAAATACCAATCAAACTGATCTTTCTGATGTTTTCAGCATGTTAGAAGATAAATCATGAGCTTTAGAAGCTCATTTCAAGTATTTATTCAAGAGTGTAACTCTTTTTGCTTCTCACTGAAAGAAATCATATGCCTTAAAAACCAACTGTTACACATATGATCAGTTGCGCATCTATATATAGTATGTACCATGTGCAGTGCGTGTGCGCGTTTTTCCTCCTACCGTTGTGCAGGCCTCTGTTAAGATGTCCACTTGTACACATAATACTTGGATCGTTTCTAAAATAACTTTTTCCAGTGATGGTTTTAAAAATAACTAACAGCAGATATTGTTGGGTACAGGGTATTGGTTTCTATCTTGCGTACTGACAATTACTAGACTATTCAGGAGTTTTAAATGTTTTTGCTAGTCATCACTCTCATTTGGAGACAAACAGATTGTAACTACAAAAGATATAGAGTACACCCTTAACAGTCTACATCTACAGCTGAATCCCATTCTCTGGAACCTAGTGATTTAACTTAAATTATCTGGTAATTCAAAATAATGAGGCAGGGACAACCAGACAGATCAGGTAACAGTATCAGAGATACATAGGAACATGACTGCACAAACAAGAAATTAAAAACACCACACATTCCACTATTTCATTAAGAGAAATAGAACATGGTTTGTAAAATCCAGGGCTCTACTTATTACTAACTGACATACAATGATGATAAGGAAGGATAAAGACTTTTCAGTCATTAAGATAAAGACACTCAGTCATATCTGACAACTTGTGTGATACCACTATTCCCTTCACCACACCACTTGCAATACTGGTATGTTTTAAATTGATCATAACATCTTTATATTCATAAAATCTTACTATTTTTATATACTACCCATCAAAAGTTTAAACTCACTAGTGTAAATGTAGCCACTTACTTCAGTCAACTGTTCTAAATTAGATTTTGCAAAATATTCCATATTGTTTTAAGGTACTGTTTACATATGAACTGATGTATTGTGAAACAAATTTGTAACATTGAAAAGATTATTATCATGAGTTCAACAAGAAGGCAAAGTCATCAACATCCCCTGCAACGGCAAAATACTCTTTATCAATATGTCTACTAGTTATAATTATGTCAAATGCTTTGGAGTGTATACAGCAGAGTGGAAGGAGAGCAATGAAAGGTTTTTAAGATCTGCTCCCAAAAGGAGCACTACCACAAAATTCAGTTGATGCCTAACTTGTTGCCATGGAAATGCAACAAGATGTCAAGCATGATCCCTAGATGTGCCTTGTGGGGTTTAGACCCAGATATGAATTTTATTTTTTTGCTGTTTTCATGGAAACGTGACTTTTGCTGTGACTATGAGAATGTCATCTTGTCTGGAGCAGACCTCCCAAACTATACATGCTAGCTTAATCAAACTTGGTACACATATCAAGCATGATCCCTAGATGTGCCTTTTGGGGATTAGACCCAGATATGAATTTAGCCACAGCCTAAGTCATGTTTCAATGGAAACCACAAAAAATAAAATTCATATCTGAGTCTAAACCCCTAAAGGCACATTTAGGGATCAAGCCTGATATGTGTACCAAGTTTGGTTAAGCTATCACGAATAGTTTAGGAGATATGCTTCAGACAAAGTGCACAATATTTGCACATGCATTGCACATGTAACCATACATATATACATAACATATAGTGAATGCTTTAAGTGTATCTAAACTTTTGATGGGTAGTATATATATACATTTGTTTAATTTAATGGTCATTCATTGGGCTATTCAGCATATAGCTTGGGGGCATCTGTTCATCATTATATCAATCTATTTTTCATCTGTAACAAGGAGAAATTCAACTTAAAAAGTTAACTCATGCTGTGACGCTCTTGAATTTTCCCGATTACACCATACATTGCCACAGTAACTACACATTGTGAAATTGTGCAAGCATTCCCAAGCCCTGATAGAGTGGCATGTTCTCACTTAATTAAGCTGCATTACTGTTCCAGCTACAAACAAAATGCTTTGATATTCAACCACAAATCTCAAGGGAGTGCTTCTGACAAATAGGCTCAGATGTACGCAGAAATCGTCGTCATATTAAACAGCATAAGGATGGGAGTTGCACTAATATAAACAGTTCCAAGGCCGCTTTACTTCTATAGTGACCATACATGGCCACAGCCAAACTGGAGGCGCCTTACAAACCTAATTCAGAAGTCAAAAGATTTTGAACCTATGGAGAATTCTGCAAATTATTCAGGTCTCAGATCATTAATTGGAAAGATCTAACGCACCAGGGTATAAACTGATCAGCTTAGGGTTGAGTATTTCATCTTTAAAATTCATTGCAGTTTCCAGGACTTTCATTTCCAGAAACTGACTGGCTTCATTGCCCAGTTTCAATCTACCAGTCGCTGGGGTCAAACAGGTCAATGAATACAGATCAATCAATTTTTTCCACCTCCTGAATCAGATTAAATTAAGAAATAAAAGCCATATGTTCTTTCACCATGCATATTTTTTACGGCTATATCGAATGATCAATTAACTTGTATTTCAGGTTTTCATCCAGGAAACTGCTGATTAAATCATGTCTAAAAAAACTTACAGGAGAGATTAATTAAGGCTTACACAATACTTTACATTATTCATAGCATTCAAGTGCACCTACATTCCATTGCATTTGAGCTAATATCCTATAAGGAAGACATTTACATGCATTTAAATGTACCTTTCAGTTTCTATAATAAAACAATAAAAATGAAGGGGGATGTATTAATTCTTGTTATTTGCTGCTTACGAAACTAAATTACCAATTAACTGCAACCAATCAATGACATTTGAATAACTTCATGTTTGAAACAGCTTTCACTTTCACAAATTCTTCCTTTGATAGGAAAGACAG